AGCTGTGCCCACCGCCCAAGTGGCAAAGTTTCCATGGCCCAGACTCTGGCTTCAGGACTCCTGGGGGCAGGGGGTGGTGGTGATAAAGATGCAGATTCCCAGGCACACCTCCATACACATTCTCTGGAGGCAGGGCTAACCAGTCCTTCAGGCGGTCTCTGGAAAACTGCATGAATTTGGGCCTTCATTTGACAGGGGGAAGAAAGTGTGGAAAGTGAGTAATTAGCTTTTGCAATCGGCATTCCCCCCAAAACTGAGTCTGTGCTTAAAACTGAGACTGTACAGACATTGTGAATATGCCACTCAGTCGGACTTCTCTCAGTTTCAAATACAGCATGCAATTCACTGGAAAATCAACAGCTCTTCCAGAAGGTGGCACAGCTTAGTGGGACAGAGCAAAGGCAAGCAGGCTCAAATCAACTTGAGAATGTTCCTTACCCTTCCTCGGCCTCAGCTCTCCTGTCTAGAAAATGCTACACTAAGAGAATTTCCCCCGTAGCTTGTTGGGAGGACCAAGTTAAATGGAGTCAGATGTGTGAAGCAGTCAGCACAGGGCTTGCTTGGCCCGTGACATGTGCTGAACCAATTTAAGACACGCCTATTACTGTTGTTAAAGGTAACTAACAAGTTTAAACTCTGAAATAAAAACAAAAAACTGAGGGACGCCTAGGTGGCTCAGTCGGTTAAGCATCTGCATTCGGCTCAGGTCATGATCTCGGTGCCCTGGGATGGAGTTCCGCATCAGGCTCCTTGCTCAGCAGGGAGCCTGCTTCTCCCTCTGCCTCTCCCTCCCCCTGCTTGTACCCTTGCTCACACTCTCTCTCACTCACTCTCGCCCATGCTCTCGCTCTCTAACAAATAAATAAATAAAATCTTTAAAAAAACAAAAAACAAAAAACTGAGATGCTATGATAAATATCTGTGCCCCTTTAACCATGGCGACAAAGCTATTTAAATCAGGGAGTTCTTTTTAGGAAGAAATAAATGATTATTCAGCAGAGTATGGACAATACAAAAAAATTCAGAAATAACCAAGCAAGGAGAAGTTGGCAAATCATCAGTCTTGACCTGCTGACGGTCACGGCCTCGGGAAGAAGCAAAGCATGCTGCTTTCCACCAGAATTCCAAGTAAGCAGCACATCTCTTGTGACCACTGCCACTCTCACGCAAGCTTAGGAAAAGGGACTTGTACTCCCGTCGCCAGCTTTCTGAGCTCCCTGTGGTCTGCAGCATTTTCAGTGGCCGGGCTCTGCGGTGCGTGCGTGGGAGCTCTGTATGCTTGCACTTGGGAGGGTGAGGACCGGCAGGGGGGCTGCGCGGGGAGGGGTGTGGCTACGAATGCCCAGCAGGGGGCGAGCTAAGGGGTCCAGGAATCCTGAGAATGGCTTCCTTCCAGCCCCCAACACCCTGGTGGGCCGCCGGGGATGCTCCAGCTCCACCCTCACACCCCCCACCCCCAACCAAGCCATAGTTTCCAAATCACTGGTGTCCACAAGAACTGATTCCTGGAATTACGGTACGGAGGTCTGGGGCGGGTCCTAGACTCATCTTTGGGCACATTCGAGGGTCTGGGGCTTTGAGGAACCATGGGCTAGCCAGTCTCTGCCCACCCACTCACCATCCCTGCTGTTATCTGCAACCCTCACCAACAGCACAGTTTCATCTGCTCTGTGTCTTCTTTTGTAAACTTCTCCAAGGTGACAGCCAGGTCTTCAATTTCTTGGCATTCTGCTCTGTTAGGCAGATGCCATGAATTCAAGAAAGACACTTTGAATGGTCTGATACAATGTTTCAAAAAGTCCACATCTTTCAAGTGATCTTGAGAAACCTCCGATCTGCCTGGTACATCAGAAGAGGCGGCGGGAATCATGACTTTTGGGCACACAGGCCCCAATGAAATGTCTTCTATCTTTAGCAGCTTCCCTCGCCTGGAACAAGCCGATACGACGCTGTGAACTTAGAGCCCTTGTCCGCCCTGGAGCCCAAGCACAGCAAGTCAGACTTGTCGTTGAAATTGGTGACTCCCACCCAGAGGCTGGCAGGCTGTCCATTCCAAGTCAAGACTGGCTGACTGAGGGCAGCTGAGCCTGACTAACGGACAACGATGGCAACACTGGGAGCGTACGGAGCCCCTCGGTGATGACTGCTCCACATGCACTTTTCTAATGAAACTTTAAAATTGCTTCTACTATGAGACCCTACGGTGACCCGGTGCGGTGGGTTGAGGGGTAGCCCCAGAGAGAGATGTCCATGTTCTAACCCCAAGAGCCCATGAATGTGACATTCAGAAAAGCGGGCTTTGCAGATGTAATTAAGTTACATCTCTCTGAGATGACGAGATCGTCCTAGATGATCCTAGATCCAATGACAAGTGTCCATTTAAGCTATGAAAGAGAGAAGGGGAGGAAGCCCTTTGGAGACAGAGGCAGAGTTCAGGAGGGACACAGCCACCAGCCGAGGAACATGAGTAGCCACGAGAAGCCAGGGAAGCATGAGAGCCTCTCCCCCAGGGCCTTCGCATGGGGCCTGGCTGTGTGGACATCTTGATTTGGGACTTCTGGCCCCCAGAACTGTGAGAGGATACATGTCTGGTGTTTTAAGCCACCCAGTTTATGCTCATTTGTTACTCCAGCTGTAGGAAGCATTGATATAATGAATTCTTTCCGTACGTCATTCGTATTCCTCACATCTCCACGGAAAGTCACGGACATCGAGACAAGCAAATGTGCTGGACTCGGAAGCTGTCCTTCTGGTGAAAGGATGGTACATATACATTCAGGGGCTTTAGAGCTGCATGCAATGGGAGGATGACACCATTTCCAGATGGCCTGACACTGGGTGGCTGGTCCATCTGCAAGTTCTGCCCCTTTGAGCCTCCCCAAGCTGCAGGAGTGAGCTGGGAGTCCCAGATGTTCTGCATCTTGGTTTTTCTTGTTGTTGTTGTTAAAACTCTTCGCCATTAGCAACATAAGATCTCACCCACAGCATTTCACTGTGTTGAGGTGCTGCAAGTCATTCAGCTGGGGGCTGCATTTAGGTTTCTGTTCACCAAGCTGCGGGACGCCCTTGCTGACGCTCATGCACCTGCGTGGTTGCGTCCGTGGGAAAGTCCCCAGGGCGCAGGGCTGTGTGCCCCACGGCTGTGGCTCCCACCCTCCAAAGAAGCCCCACCGACTCGCCTCTTCTGTTCTCGTCTCCTGCCCATGGAGCAGGAGAGGCTGTATTTACAAATGCACAACCTATCAAATGGAGCCCAGTCCTTCCCTGACAAAGCCAGTGCTCTTCCAAAGGAAACAAAGCCTCGTCAGGGCTCCGGACTCCCTTCCACAGCTTGGAACCCGACTGCCTCACTTCTAACCTTACCTGACCTAATGTAAACAGAGCCTCCACAGTCCATCAGACTCCTTCGATCCTGGAGACACTCTAAGGACTGTGACTGGCTATCGGCCTTGACCATGGCCAGAGGCAAGGGGTGGGTAATGGTGGCACCCCGGCCCAGCCTCCTTAGGTCATCTCCCTTCTTTCACTCCTACCCTCTACAGTCCATTCTCCATTATGCAGCCAGAGTGAAGACAGAAGGTCATATATTAAAACAAGTCAAATTGAGTCACTTCCTTGCTCCAGGACTCTCCCAGCTCATGAAGGATAAAATCCCAAACCCTTGCTTACAAAGCTCCCACAACTGGGCCTCTGTCTGTCCTCTAACCTCAAGTGCCACCAGCAGATGCTGTACCCCCGCCTGGGGCCCTGGAAATTCTTCAAAAGGTGAGGAAGACCAGGGCCCGTGACTGAGGAGACCGGTGCCCAGGGTGAGATGAGGAGGGCAGGGCTGGGGGCAGCGATGGGGAGGCACTTCCTGCTCCTAGTCACTCCTACAAGGCTCAGGCCACCTATACCCACATCCTTTCCCTTCTCAAGTCACTGTCCTTGCTGGCCGATCGTTGAGAGACCGGCTCCCAGCCTTCTGCTCCACCCATAACCTGACTAATTTGAGGAGATGTCAGAGTCCATGTGACTGACCCAGTCAACCACCAGCTTCAAAATTCCAGGAACTCCTTTTAATGCCAGTGGCTTCCACTCCTGTGTGCTCTGCCGTCCGTCATAGGGCTTCAGTACTGACTGGCCCCCACTCCCTTGCAATTGCTCCTCCTTTCAGAAACCTTACACTCTAACATTCTACCTGTTCACTGATGTGCCTTCTGATCATGGTTTCGTGAGACCCCTGTGGGTCCTTGACACCGCCACACTTTCCTGGACGCTCGGCAGCTCCCTCCTGACTCACGCCCTTCCCTATTTTGCTAGTGGGTGGTAATCAGGGGCTCCCAGAGCTGGCTGAGCATCAGAGTTAGCGGGGAGCTCTCAGAGCTCAGATTATGGCCCCATCTAGGCCATGTGACCCCACAGGCCTCTTGGATGCTCAGACTGACCACTCAACCCATCCTGAAACACTCCTCCCTTCTGTTTTCCAGCACACTACATTCTCCTTGTTCTGCTCAAGCCTCTCTGTTCACTTTCTGTCCTTCTCTGAGGCCCCTCTTCTTGCTCCCCCTCCTGACATCTGGTCCGCCTCTCTGTCCTCAGCCCCTCACTCTCTCCCCCTCCACCCTTCGCTTCGTCAGGCAACCTCACATGTATGCTGACAACTTCCTAATCTGCTGCGCTCTTCTCTTCCACAAGATTAGGTGCACAAAATTCAGAAGCTGGCCAGGTAGATGATTACCACTAAAGATGGGCACACCTTAGATGCTAGGAAGGCTCTTGGCATGTGCCCTCTAGTTTTATTTGAATCTCTTTCTGTTCACCAACAGCTCTGGGACAGGTAGCTAAGACCACAGTGCACTTCAGGGCCCTTGCAGGCAAACTGGCCAACACAGAACTTCTCATAAACACAGTATTGTAACAGACCAGACCAAACCATTATGTGTCATTGCAAAGGCTCAATGCATCAATGGCCCATCTCTCCTTTGCACATCTCCCTCGCCCCCTCATGTGGTACTTACTCCCAAGTACTCCGTGGTCAGAAGCTTCTCGCCTGAGAGCTCTCCAAGCTGGGGCTGGATCAGCTCATCTTTGTCCAGATCAGCTTCCATAGTATCATGGTCCTCCTGTTTCAAAGGACACATGGGGTGAGTGCTCTGGACCCCCGGCCACGCACTCCCAGAGAGCTGGCTCCCCAAGTGGGCACCCTCCATGGAATGAGAAGGCCTTTGCCCAAAGCCAGCAACCGGTGGGTTTGCATTTCAAAGGGCTTTGGGGGCAGTCTGTCCTCTGCTTATAACCTCTCCATGAAGATGAAAGGGAAAATGCCAGCTCCCCTCTTTCAGAACCTGGGCACCTAGGGAGCACTTCCATGACCACAGGTGTGGGAAGTTTCAATAAGACACCCAGCAGTCTCTCCTAGTCACAGTTCTCAGAATTTCCCTCTGTGAGGGCCAGGTACCACACGAACAGCCAAGTCAGTCTATCAATAACTATCACGTGCCTTCATACGCACAGGCCTTACAGGGCACATAAAACTTGTTCTTCTCTAATAGTTTACAGTCACCGAAAAGAGAAGCTGTTTTGCTTTTGGGAAGATGGAGTGGATATACTTTTCCTTATTCCTTCCACTAAATACATCCCCAAACACTGAACGTTATATATAACATAAACAAAAGAGACCCTGGAAGATGGAGAGAAGGAGCAGACTGGTTAGGTCCCTGAAGACGCAAGGATTGAAAGGTGCTGAGTTCCCTGGGTTTCCTTTGTTCCTTATAGATTCCACACTTGGAGCTGAAGAAGCCAGCAACTCAGCAACGTGAATGGTGAAGACAACAAAATCCCCCCAAAGCCTGCTCTCTGTAGCCAAAGGACCAGGAAAGGGATAACCTAGCATGAGAGAAGTTTTAGAAAATAACCAAATACCACAGAAAATATCATGGCCCCATCACAACCATACCAGGAAGGGCCTCAGGGAGCCCAGGCTTCTACCCACACTAGGCTATCATCAGGCACCCCCACATCCCCAGCTGGGGTGATATGAGAGAAGAGCAAGCAGGGAGGGGGGATTTCATCCTTGCGGGGCAGAAATGCGGTTCCCATCCCCAGGTGAGAGTGGAGACCACGTGGAGAGCCTAGCTTTCCACTTGACGGTAACGAGCTATCCCCCTCTCCATGCTCTGACGCTGTCAGAGGAGGTCTGGTGGAGATTCAAGGCCTTCACCACTGACCCCCACGCCCCTATGGTGTCAGACGGGGCAACGTGGGCAACACTAATGAGGCGCTCCTACCTGTTCTGGTTAGAGAGATACTAGTGGAGGGCTAGAAGGGATCTGGAACTCCCACCCCTGCCCTGCAGTAACAAGGGGTCTCCTCCCATCCCCTACCACTAATGGGTGTCAACAGAGGCTGAGTGTAAGTCCTGGACTTCTACTCACACCTGGCAGTAACGAGGAGGAGCCCCTGCTCCCCCTGTCAGAGCAGTGTCAGAAGCAGCCAGCTAAGGGTGCCTGGGTGGCTTGGTCGTTAGGCGTCTGCCTTTGGCCAGGTCATGATCCCGGGGTCCTGGGATCGAGTCCCATGTCGGGCTCCCTGCTCAGTGGGAAGCCTGCTTCTCCCTCTCCCACTCCCCCTGCTTGTGTTCCCTCTCTCGCTGTCTCTCTCTCTCTGTTGAAAAATAAATAAAATCTTAAAAAAAAAAAAAGAAGCAGCCAGCTAAGACAGAAGGCTTAAATTAGATCAAAAGTCTTTTTTTTTTTTTTTTAAAGATTTTATTTATTTATTTGCCAGAGAGAGAGAGAGAGTGAGGGAGTGTGAGAACACAAGCAGGGGTAGCGGCAGGTAGAGGGAGAAGCAGGCTCCCTGCTAAGCAAGGAGCCCGACGTGGCACTTGATCCCAGGACTCTGAGATCATGACCTCAGCTGAAGGCAGATGCTCAACTGACTGAGCCACCCAAGTGTCCTTAGATCAAAAGTCTTATAATACTCAAAATATCTGGGTTTAAATAAAAAAACAGTCATCATACCAGGAACCAGGGAGCTCTCAAACTGAACAGAGACAATCAGTAGATGCCAACATCAAGATAACAGAGTTGCTAGAATTATCTGATAGAGATTTTAAAGCAGTCATCACAAAAAGGCTTCAATGAGCAATTACAAACATTCTTGAAACAAATGAAAAAAACAGAAAGTCTCCAGAACTTTCTGGAGAAAGAAAAATAACAAAATAAACCCAAAGCAAGCAAAAGGAAGGAAATAAGAAAGAGCAGAGTGGATATCAATGAAAAGGAAAGCAGAAAAACAGTAGAGAAAGTTAGTCAAACAAAAAGCTGATTCTTTGAGAAGATTAATAAAAATGTCAAGTCTCAAGCAAGATCAACAAAGAAAAAGGTAAAAGCCACAAATTACCAATGTCAGGAATGAAACAGAAGACATTACTACAGATCCTGCAGATATCAAAAGGATAAGGGATTACTATGAATAACTCTACACACATTGGTTTGACAACTTAGATAAAAACACAAATTATCACAAGCCTCTCAACATGAAATTGTGATATAGGACTATTCAAGTAATCTTAAAATGTTGATTATGAAGGAAATTGCTTCATAAAATTTCATAAAAATTCCCTGAAAAGAAATCTCCAGGCCCACATGGTCTCCCTGGAGATTTCTATCAAGATTTTTAAAAAGTAACACCAAGTCTATATGTCTTCAAGAACACACAACAGGAAGGAATACTTCTTAATTCACTTTATAAAGCTTTTCTGTTACCAAAACCAAACACAGTACCATAAAAAGAAAAATACAGACAAATGTCCTTCATGAATAAAGATGCAAAAATCCTTAATAATCAAGTTAAAAGAAAAGGGAAAAAAATCCTTAACAAAACCTTAACAGAATAGAGGAACAGATCAGTATGTTAAAAGAATTATACCATAATGACCAAGTAGGGTTTGTTCTGTCAATGCAAGTTTGGTTCAGTATCTAAAATTTAAACATTGTAATCCATAAGATTAACAGGTTTGTGAAGAAGAAAAATCACATGAACATATAAATGGATGAAAAAAAAAGACAAAACTCATATTCATGACAAAAATAGGAACAGAGGGGTACTTGATAAAGAGTCTATAGCTAATATTATGCTTAATGATGAAAGACCGGATGCTTTCCTCCTAAGACTGGGAACAAGGCAGGGATTCCTGCTCTGACCATTTTTTTTTTCTTTCACCATTCTTTTCAACATAGTGCTAGAAGTTCTAGCCAGAGCAATAAACCAAAAAAAAAAAAAAAAAAGGAAATAAAAAGCATATAGATCAGAGAGGAAGAAATAGAACTGTCTCTATTGGCAGATGCCATGATTTTCTACGTAGAAAATCCCAAGGAATCAAACCCTCGAAAATCCTAGAACTAAGTGGGTTCAGCAAGGTCGCAGGATACAAGATAAATATACAGAAATCAATTTCTGTATACTAGTGATGAACTTAAATTAAGACACTGAAATGAAAAATACAACATTATTTACAATTGTTCACAAAAAATAAAAAATAAAAAATACTTAGGTGTCAATCTAGCAAAATATGTATAGGATTTGTATGCTGAGAACTATAAAACACTAATGAAAGAAACTGAAGATCTAAATGAAAGAAAAGACACACCTTGTTCATGAATTGGAAGACTCAACAGAGTTAAGATGTCAGTTCTGTTCAAAGTGATATATGAATTTAATGTAATTTCTATCAAAATACCAGCAAGATTTTTCTGTAGATATATACAAAATTATCCTAAAATTTGTATGGAAAGGGCAAAGGAACTAGAATAGCTAAGAAAATTTTGAGAAAGAATAACGTGGGAAGAATCAGTATACCCAATTTCAAGACTTACTATATACCTACAGGTTTAAAGATTGGGTGGGACTGGCAAGAGCGATAGATATATAGATCAACAGAACAGAATAGAGAACCTCAAAGCAGCTGTACACGAATATGCCCAACTGATTTTTTACTAAGGTGCAAAAGCAATTCAATGAAGGACTGCCTTTTTGATAAATGGTACTAGAGCATCTGGACATGATCGGGAAAAAAAATGGACCTCACTCTCATTCTCATGCCTTATCTAAAAATTAATTCAAAACGGATCATGGACTTAAATGTAATAGTATCCAATTGTTAGAAAAAATGGGAGAAAATCTTCAGGATCCATGGGTAGGCAAAGAGTTCTTATACTTGACACCAAAAGCATAATCCATAAAAGGAAAAAATTTGATAAATTGGATTTTACTGAGATTTTAAAATCTTTTGCTGAAAGACCCTGTGAAGAGGACAAAAAGCTAGCGACTGGGAGAAAATATCTAGAAACCACATATTTGACAAAGGACTAGTATCTAAATAATAGAACACATAAAACATTCTCAAAACTCAACATAAAAAGCCCAAACAATCCAATTAGAAAATGGGCAAAAGACATGAAGAGACTAAAGAGGATCTATGGGTGGCAAATAAGCACATACGAATGTTCAACATCATTAGGTATCTGGAGAATGTACATTCAAACCACACTGAGGTGTCATTCTGCATCTATCGGAATGGCTTCCGTCAGAAACGCTGATGAAGATGCAGAGAAACTGGATCACTCCTATGTTGCTGGTGGGAACACAAAACTAGTTACAGCCACTCTGGAAAACAGTTTGGTAGTTTCTTCAAAAGCTAAGCCTACAACTACATACGACCCAGCAATTGCACTCTTGGGCATTTATCCCAGAGAAAGGGAAACTTATCGTCATATAAAAATCTGTACATGAATGCTTACAGCCCCTTTCCTTGTAATGACTCAAAACAGGGAAGGAGAGATTAAATGAACTGTGGTACCTCCATAGAGGAGGTACTGATGCACACAAAACTGGAGGCATCTCCAGTGACTTATGCTGTGGGAAACAAGCCATTCCTCATGGTTATAACCTGTGTGATTCCATTTACATGACATTCTTGAAATGACAAAACTGGAAATGGAGAACAGATCAGTGGTTGCCAGGGGTTACAGAGGAAATGGGGGTGGGAGGGAAGTGGGTGTGGCTATAAAAGGGCCCCTGGTGGTCCTGGAAATCCTCTGGATCCTGAATGTCTCAATGT